AGCTTCATAACAGTTAATTATAGTGATAGCCGTCAAATTTTCATTTTAACTTATTTACTTATCAAATAATTAATAATTTAATGATTTAATTATCTCAGCCAATCAGAATGAAAGTTAAAAAAAAAAGCAACAACAGATGATTTTCTAAAATATTCCAAACAAAATTTGCATCAAATCCATAAACATTATTACATTTACAAAGTTCCAAATCGGTTGTTATCAATAGTGCAGCCAAATTATATCAATATTTAATGAGTGGTAGATAAGAGAGATCAATAGGTTTGATATCCGTTATTTGTTAGTGCATAAAAGAGAATAGGGGAAAAAAGAATTTAACATAGTGAATGTTAATAAATTCCCAACAGCTTTTCAAAAAGAGCATTTAAATCGATAGCATAATTTACTGACAGACTTATTTTATTTCACTGAAAAAAAATCGTAAGTTATCTTTTCTATTTTCTCGTAATTTTAAAAAGTCTTTTTTTTATTATTTCATTTTTAAATTTAAATTTGAAACATTTTTGATATAATAATTTCATACAATTAAAAATATAATTTAATTGTCTTTTTTCTTTTTTGAAATTTTAGGATGAAATTAAAAAAGTAATGAAAAAATTTGTGCTAATTCCAAATTTTTCGAAAATTTACTTTCGTTGCATAATAATTTGTTTGAATGTTTGAAAGTTATTTATTATTTGGGTAATCGTTTAGCATTTAATAATTTGTTTATATTCATTCCAAACAAATTTAATCTTAATTTAATCTAAAATTTTAACTATTAGCTTCTTTTTAAATATACAATGAAATGTAATTTCAACGCCGAAAATATTTCAAATAAAAATTCTTTTCCGCATTTTTTCAACATTGAAAATTTCCGTTTCATTGTAAATCATTATTTTTTTCAACGTCGAAGATTTTAGTTTTATTGTGAAATTTTTCGTCAAAATAGTTAAACGAATAGTTGCTGCTAATATTTCTATAAATTAATCATTCATTTTTTTAAGTCAAAAAATTTTATTGAAACTATTGAAATCACGTTTTTGAGAGGTTTTTTTAATTGTAAAATTCTCAAATATTTAAATTATCTTTTGTTTAGAGTTCTAAAATTCTGATAATTATTTTCTAATATTTTAATATAAATAAAAATCCAAAAGAATACGAATGAAAGCTATTCTTCTGTTTCGCTGATTTTCAGGAAGTTTGAAGATTTAAAAAGGTAACATGATATTGTTTCGTTGATTAGAGAGAGTATTTCGAAAGTATCATCGGATAGTGAAATGTGAATCGCCCCTTTTTATTTTCGCATTTTTCTTTCATTTAACATTAAAAAGAAGATTTAATAAATTTAAATAATTTATTCGTAATCTATTGTACTTCAACAAGGATACTAAAAATAGACATTTGATACATCAACAAAGGTCAGCTTTTGAAGAAGTATCGGAAAAATTCTCAGACTAGCTATAATTTGAAGTCATTTCCAGACGCTTCAACTTAATACTAATAAATCCGTTGACAAATGAGCTATTTCCTAAGTGCTTCAAATGTGCTTACTGACAGCACTTCTTCCTTATTCTGAACTCTAAACTTAACTACTAAATCACTTTTTCATGAGAAATATAATGCAAAAATTTAAATTATATGTGCATTAACATTCTTTGCCAACTACACTCATAATTTTAGTTCTTTCAAAATCATTGATATATTTTAAATTTAAAGAATGATGAATTTGATTAAACTCAATTACAAATAATTTCATTAAGTCAGCGGAGGATTTTTTGATAAAGCAAAGAAGAGACAGACATTTATTATAGAATTATTAATTGAGTAATTTATTAACTTTTATTATTATTATTATTATTGAATAAGTAAAATATAATTTTAACTCTCATATAATTTGTTTTAAAACATCCTGCTTTCTTATTTCTGCATAAATGACCTTAATTCTCCATTGCTTACATAATTTTACCTTTGGTTCAAATTCTTTTTTATTGTTGACATTTCAAAAATAGCATATAATTACTTAAATAAGGGTAATTTTGCAATAAGATGGCCTTGCAAAGGGCACAATAGGAGGGAGAAAGGTGAATGAGGTTAGGGATCGATTCTATATAATATCCACATTTATTATATACTTATCTATAATTTGTAATCTCAAATCACATCTAAGAATTACCAATTTTTCAATATAAGATGAAAAAAAATCAAAAATCTCAAAAATGCTTACTACGATGTTAATTATATGATACGATATTGATCGAATTGATTGCATTAACGGAATCTTTCTTCAAAATTGTTTTCATCAAAAATTATCACAAATAATTTTTCCCTCTCTTCGTACTTTCCCATTTCTTCTCATCTTTGATGATCAGTTATATCGGAAGTAGTAACTATTATAGGATGATGAATTATCATAATTGTCATTCATTGCTTTATCATTAATTTTAGTTTAGCTATGATATAGGCATGCTTTTAGTGTATGAAATCACAAACGTTTCAAATAGATATATTCATTTCTATAATTTAAAATAGATTAGTGATTTTTTTGATTTAAATTGAAATTGTTATTATTTTATGATATAAGACATTTTCAAAATATATCATCTCTTTTTGTTTATTATTATTTTCTACGTAGTCGATTAATCTTTCTAAATGATATTGTCTGTTATAATTTCATCAATTGATTGATTGTTTAAGTTAAAGTGTACTTCTAATAAATTTGCTGAATGAATGATTAATGATTTGTGATTAAGAATGGTTAATCATTATTTTTGGACTGAATAAAACTGTATCGTTAAAACTAATTAATTTCAATATTTCCCGAGAGTATTTCATTTGGTGTATTTCAGTAAAAAAAAAGCAAGAAATTTTTACATTTGAAATTTAATTTCAATGAAAAATCTGCGGCAGTATTTACTTCAAATTCATTTATCTGTTTTGACTTCTCTGTATAAATAATATATTTACTGTGACTATTTCAAACTTTAACCTATTAGCTTATTTACAGCTTATTTATTGCAAATTAAATTATAATTGAAATATGAGCATAAAGGTGAACTGAATCGAATTAACTGGAATGTATCATTACTGCAATCGAATTACTCTAATATTTCTAAATTCTCTATGCGGTATCATACTATCTACAGCACAAAATCTTTGCTTCCAATGCTCAGATCCAAATATTGAAGTGGTTGGTATATTATTTTTTTTGAAATTTGAACTTTTTGAAAATTCAAATTTTAGAAAATGGCATTTTGTAGAATAGATGAACTTATTTAACATTTAATTCAAATGATTTTGATACTTTCTTTTAGTAAATTAGATAGATGAAGTGATTAATAGTGTTCGGATCTCATTTTCATTGAAGGTATAAATGAATGGAAGACAAAATTAAATATAATGGGTTAGAAGCTAATGATATATGCTAATAGGATAGATTGGAATGAAATGAAAACAGCTTTATGAGTGAGTAAGCCTTCAAAGCACTTTTGATGGACTACCTAAGCTGTCGCCAGCCTACTGCAATCTCTCTAAATGAAATAAGAGACTAATCTAAAATTAGCATCATAAATTGTAGCATTATGGTGCATTTTTCAACAATCCAAGAATTCTTCAAGATGACAATAGAGGAAATGAACGACAACCGCATTGCGAATCAGGAAAAAATGCCAGGAAACAAATATGTCGTGATCCATGTTATATATTAAATGTTACCACATATGACATCAAAACTGGAAAACTTCTATTATTTGGTATTTATTTCTAAATAACAACGATAGATCATCAATCATCCATTATGAAGAAATTTCCGCATGGAAAGACAATTTACATGCTTAGTTTTCTTGCTTCAATAATAAATATGAGGCAGTAGTTCTAACAAAAAAGGAAAATAATTCAATGCTACCATTTATTTTTTCCATTAAATTTATCAAACGTAAATTTTAAGAATTACTTATATTATTCAATAAATTAGAGTAATTATTAAGTTATATTCATTATCTTATTTCTTCATATAGTAATAAATGAAGGTGAAAGTTCATCGGAATCAAATGTAATTCGAATCTATTTGTAGGTATGTCATATGGTTGTTCAACATTTATTCTTGCACCAAGCAGGATCCGATTCAACAGTTGCTATCAATCAAATATTTTGTTAAAAACTAGACCTGCACATCCACTGCAAACTCATTATTGTTTTTGTAGCAGTTATGCATGCAATGTTATCAAGCCTACAAATGCAATGATACGTGTTGATAGTTTAAGGTTTAAAGAGCAGAATAATGAAATGATCAACAATAATTACACAATAGCTAAGATCACTTCTAATTCTGCAACGAAAAAAAGTATGCATTTTTCCGAAAATCTTCTACTGCTATTTCTACTGATAAGGAAATTGATAAGAGATTGATGATTGATAAGATATTACTTATATTTTCCTGTTTCCTTTATTCCTTTGTAACTACTTCCTTTGTAATTATTCCGAAATTTTTAGTATGAGAAAGAAATTTGAACATCGAAATTCTATGGAAACTTTCGGAAGTTATTCAATTCATATTTCATGAATTTATTTGTGATAGAAATGAAATTAATTTTTGGAATTGTTTTAGGAAGTGAAAAAGATAAATAATTAGAGCAAATAATAAGAGAGGAAATGATAAAAACAAAAGGCTAAAATAAAATAGAAGAAGAAATATTCTGTTTTATAATCATATTTATACGATAGTAAACATATTTCTTAACTGAAGTAATATTTGAAATGAATTACTGATTAATTATGTTTATGCATTTCATACTTCCTTTTGTACATTTTGTAATTAAAATGAGCAGCAAGATTGTACATCGAAGAGAGCTTTGTTCTACATAATTCAAATAGAATTTTACTATTTTAAAATTAAATTATTAATTATTATATGTGTATGAAAAAAAAATTATTTAATATTAGAAAAAGAATTTAGATATATTTTACAAATAATATATTAATTAATTAAATGGATAATTTCTTTCCTAAGCTTCTTTTACTAATGGCTTATGATCTTCACGTGCACGACATCCATGTATCATTGTCCAACATTTCTCACAATAATATTGCAAACAAGAAAGTTGTGGACAAAAGAATGGCGCATGACGATGTCCACAACGTTCACCACCACATTCATCACATGGTTGATCATCCAGTACATATGGCTTCAATTCAACCTTTAAAAATTTTCATTTACTTTTTTAGAATTACTAATTAGTCTTATCTTAATGTATTTATGCTTACTCGTTTCTCTACTTCACCATGACTTAATTGTACATAACGATCGGTAATTGCTTTCATATATGAATTTTGATTGGTAAATGCTATACGTCCAGCACCTGCAAAAAAAACGCTTTATTCCAATTTTAACGCTTTAATTTTCGGAGTTTTAATAAGCTCTCAATTTTTCAAAAAAATTCCCAAATAATTCAAATATCTTAAAAATTTAGAATTTTAAATTTTCAATCTCAATCGTTGTTAATTGAAATTAATAGAGGTAGTTAGATTTCTTAATTCATTAATAATTTTACCTTTCGGATATTTATATTCAACATCAGTATCGATACCCGCACAACCAACACTTCCATACAAGCCATCCATTATATGTGCTAATTCTACTAAAATAAATGTACAATCATTTTAGCTTAATTCAAAATATCTGCCCTATTATATTATCGAAAAATAAAGGATAAAATTAAGCATACCTGCTTTAATAGGTCGTGGTACTCCACCGACAAAAACAGCACGTCGTGCATACAATGGAATGCTTGCTTCAACTACATAATCTGCATCAGCAAGACGCCAAGGTCGAATTTGCACCTTAAAAAGATAAAAGAGAAATATCAGAGAAAAATTACACCATCTATCCTGATTTTATTAAAATTCTTTTGATATTATTAATTTATAAGTGATAAATTAATGAGAAATAAATGAAAAGGATTGCATCAAAGATTGTTGTAAAAATAAGAAGAAAAAGTTGAATTGAACTTATTATGCATTCTAAAAATAAAAACTTAATCTAACCAATTTATCAGGTGATAATGGACTTGAAATATACAAGAAAAGCTTTTCATCCTCCACAAAACATGATTGCACTAATGCGCGTACGCTAATTTCATATTCAAAGATAAGAAACACGTAGCCTAAAATAAGATATTGCTTGCTTGTTATGAAATTTTAAAAATAACTGAAACAGTTGAAGAATCAGTTTTAAATTTCAAAATGAAAATTATTAAATTATAGTAAATTAATAAGAAGGCTTGTCTTTATAGTATACCGTCTTATCATCGATTATAAATAGCGCATAGCATATTGACTGAATAGCGCTACTGATAATTGATTACTGATAATTATTAAATCAAATCATAAAAAAAATGAAATACCTTTGGGAGGGAAGTAGCTTTTATTTTCACCTTTGTTTGGCCAATCTACAATCAAAGGACCGAAACGACTGAAAGTAGCCATAAGCTCATCTGAAAGAAAATAGGTTAATTCAACTTTAAAATGATAAATTATTGCAAATTTTAATTAACAAATATAGAAGAGAAAGAAAAAAAAATACTTTCATCGATATCAATTGGTAATCCGCCGACAAACACTTTTCTGGAATATATTTCCGGTCCTGGACTGTACTGATAATACAGATTAGATTTCATTGCGCGACTGAAATTTAAAAAGAAATCCATTCAAATTTTTTCTTTATTGTTGATCCGGAAAAATTTATTTTGTTTAAATTCAATTTTCCTAAATATTAGGTAAAAACTGACAATCAAAATTATTTGTTCATTTCTTAATGGCAGAGATTTTCTTCGTTGAAATTTATTAATTAATAAAATATTAAATGGATGCATATTTTTTATTTGCACGTAAAATTTTTCTAATTAACTAAACTTATTTTTCAAATCCTAAATTTGATTTGAAAAATTCAATTTTAATAATTTTTAATTGGTACCAAATTCCGTTAGCTTGTTGATTAGATGGAGTGTGAACGCTACCAGCACCACAATCTAAATCAAATGAACCTGGATGTGATAATGCGCGTTTGATACCCTGCAGAATTTCAAAAAAATCATTACTAAAATTATTTTTTTTTAATTTTTAATTTATCTTAAATTATTATTCTAATTTTATTTTATCAAAAATTATATTACTAGAAATTTTTTCATAAATCATAAAGAATATTTAGTGCTTTCGTTCAAGAGCTGGAAGTTATTTTGCTACTTCGTTTAGATTTCTTAAGATTAAATCATAAAATTTCATTTCTTCATTTCTTTAAATTTAATCATTTCGATCATTCATCGATACGTTTATAAACAATTGTTAGCAAAGTTAATTGTCTTACATATCCTATCAAACTATCATATCGTATTGAGCGTTGAAAAAATTTTTCTTCCAAAATATTTCTTGAAATTTCTTCTCTCAATTTCATAGCTAATATTTATATGATTTTGAAGTTAACCTAACATTTTTTCATTTTCACTCTAATACCATGAAGTAAAAATAAATACGTAATACTATTAATGGAAAACTTTAAATGGAAATGACGGGATAGAAATGAAGGAGAAATATTACCCTGCATAAATATTCATAATATTCATAATACTTTTGATCAGCCCATAATTGTCCTTGACGACCAAAAGATGTTTTGATATGACGTAGATCACCAGGTCGATGAAAATACTCATCCATTAGATCACGTTGTCGTTGATGAAAAATCTCTTCATCACCTTCATGTGCCGATTGTTCCGTTTCTGTATTTGTTGTTGTCGCTATAATTTAAAATAAAATTTACATCAAAAATTTAGGCTTAATATAAAGTATCAAAATAATTTATTTATTATCTTAAAGATTAAATTGTCATTTATTAATTTATGAAAAGAAAAATTAATTATGAAATTAACAATGAAAAATGTATTATATTTGCAAAATCATATTATTTATAATATTATTTCTATTTAGCAATTTCAATTTTACTTCAAATTTTAAGCAATGATTGGAAAGAGTTAAAATTTTACGAAATATTCAAATTTTCTTTTTCAAAGCTTCTATGAAATTTTAAAAACTAAGTAACTTACAATCTTTGGTCTTTAGTTCAGCACGTGAATTGGCATTTTGTGGTATATATGAAAATGTTGTTGATGTAGGCTTTACAAAACGAGAACCGCCAACTGGTGCATTACGATAAATGGAATTCAAAACCTGTAAAATTGTTGATGATAGAAATGAAATGGTTATGATACGGATAATGAAAAAAATAAGCCTAAATACTTTTTCGAAGATTGAAATTAAATATTGGAAAATCGAATTAAACTTGAAATTTTAATATAGCAATATATGAATCCTTATTCTATATTCATTTTGCTACATTTCTTTTATCATTTATCCTTCACTCTTCAGAGAACCGATACAGAGAAGTTCCAAAACGGATAATATAAATTATCAAAACTTCTATGCGACTAATCGTAAAATAGATTTCTATTCTTCTAGGAGATAGATACAGCTTTGTATTTCAAATCAATACTTTTAAGTTAGGAAAAAATTTTAGAGTTAAATTGATAAAATAATTCTTGCCCATCTTCCTAGTCTTCCTAATCTTACTAATTTATCTTCCTAGCATTAGAAATAGTCTAAGCTTCGCTTAGAGCAATTGGCGAAATAGAAAATGCAATAAAGGTAATATATTTTTTCTTTAAATAATTCCATATTTTTCAATGTTTTATAATTTTTATAAAAATTTTAAAATAATATTTAAAATAAAGAATCTCTCTAAATTTCTTTATATTATTTTTGAAAATTTAATTTAAACATTTCAAATTAACGCAAAACAATTAATCAAAAACTTTGTGAGATAGAAAACTTTTTTTTCATTTTTTAAAATTTGCATAAATCATGCAAATGCAAAATATATCGATAAATGATAATTGAATTTAAAATAAAAATAAAAGAGAAAATTTTAACCTCAAGAGCGGTGAAATCACTATGATTAAGTGCAGTAGTTTGAGCGTTGAATGCTGATGAAGCGATTCGATTTTTGAAACAATCAATTGTATCTGCTGCACAATGACCTGAACTTTCACCTTGTTTTATTTCATTATTTGCCATCAATTCTTTATCCTCTCTTTGACCTTCCAATCCTTAAAAAAAATATTTTAACTGAAATTGAAATTGAAAATTCTCTTTTATTTGATATAAATTTTGACTTGACTTTGAATAGGCTCTTATATAAAATTGACTTTAACATTGACTTTGAATAGGCTCTTATATAAAATTTAAAAATAAATTTTAGATATTATTTGCCATCAAATTTGCCAACCACTTTTAGATTTTCTTGTAACTTTCAAACATTTTTATTTCCTATTAAAGTATGAAAAATAAGTTTATAATTGCTGTGAAAATACTTACGACCTATTTCAATAGTATCATTATCGAAATCAAGTTCACGTTGCACTGGAATTGCTTGAAATGTTTTAACAATTGTCGTATCTGGTCCAAAAAGTGATTGCGCTAATTCTAGAGCTCGATTAACAAGTTTATTTTCTGGTTCAATTGGTGATGATGATGGTGGTGGTTGTAGTACTGATTCCTGAAACGATGAAGATATTCTTTTATATGATATAAATAATTTCGGTTCTTTTCAAATAACTTTTGGAAGCATCTGTAATCGTTTCATGAATTTTTAAATTACCCTTATCAATTAGTACCTCAATTTGAGAATTATTATCACATTTCAAGATATTTCCATCATTGATAGATTGTTGCATATTATCTCCCTGTTCTTTATTGACAATATTCATTAATGATTCGTTGACATCCAATATAGTTACTGTATTATCTAGCAATGAATCATTTTTGACACATTCATTGTTACCTGACGATGAGAAACTGTCACCTTTTTGATCATCCATTATTGAAGACGATGAACATGTTGATTTACTATAAATCTGTAAAGTTCAACTAATTAAATAAAAAAAATTAATTTAAAATAAGATTAATTAAACATATTATACTTCACTTTTACAATATAACATATCTTTTTGTTTTAATACGTCTTTCTAGAAGCTATCATTTTGAAAATCTTCTACTTTCTATCCAAGTGATTATTTCAAAATTTATCATTAAATTATGATAAAAATTTATAACCTTACTTCATTTGTCAATGATGAATCAGTGGTCCAAAAGCAGTGTTCCGTAATCACATTACTGTAGCGCCGTTTAGGTAAACGTCCTCTTGTTGGTGATTTTTGATTGGACATCTCGAAAATTTTATTCTGAATCAATCTGGAAAATTCGAAAAGTTTTTATTTTATCAGTATCCAGAAAAGAAAATACATAGAGGAAGCATAGATTATCACTTCATTCAAAATTAAATACCAAATTATTCACTACCCATTGCATTTCAAATCAACCGCTTTCATTGATGAAAAATTTTATGAAGTGATAATTTTGCTGAACTTCAAGTTTATTTATAACAGTTAATTTAAATATTTTATATGCAAATTTCTGAACGTTGCAAAAAAATTATCCAATCAAGCTTTGTTTGCATATTTGCATATCTTTCCAACTTTAAAATATTTTTTTTCTATTAATTGTTTTTGCAATTTTATTTATTCTAAGTTTTGAAAAGCTGTAGTTAGTAAGTTGAGAGATATTGTGCAATTGATTGATAAGATAAGAATTATTGCAGTATTCTTTAAACTTACCTGCTTAAGATAAATTACAAAAGATAATTAAAATAAGTTAGAAAGGATATCTTACAAATATTATAATCTCTTAATTTTTACTTCATAAAGTCTAAATAAGTTTTAATTTTTATTTCATAAAATTCTAATAACTTAACATTAACATATAATTAAAAAAACATATAATATATAATTATTTACATATGCATCAAATAACATAATTATAAACATATAATTATTTACATATGCATCAAATTTTGGTTAAAGCTTGAAAATTACTTAAATTCGGTATCATAAAAAAAATTCAATATTATTCTTATCTCTCTTTTCCAGATAATCCGGAAAAATAGGATTGATATTAACTTGTTAGAATTTCATGAAATTAAAATTAACAATATGATTAGTCTATTCTTTTAATTTACAAAATTTTGCAGGTAAGCTTATTTAGGCTTGCATGGTTGTTACAGGTAAGCTTATTTAGGCTTATATAATTGTTGAAGGTAAGCTTCAATTATCTTTTCAAGTATTTTGATCAAATATTCTTGTTTTTGAGGATAAAAATCAAAGCTTCTTTTTCCTTAAAATTTTTATCATTCTGAAAAAATAATTCAAGCGAATATTTATAATTTATCAAATAACTTTAAAATCAAAATTAGATTTAATATTTTAAGTGATTCAAACATTTTTTGCTATAGAATTCAAAAATTCTCATACAGTATTTTCCAAAAATATAATTCTTCTTTTGTTTCATAACAACAAGCAAATTTTATCGTCTAAAGTAATTACTAAATTAGGATGAGAATAGTTAAAATCATTTTAAGTATTAACTAAGAAATAATGCGAAACATATTTCCTCAAATAATTTTTATATATTCAAAAATCGTTGTCAAAGTTTCAATAACATTGTGATTTATGATCAGATAACAGATGCTTAAATATGAAATATCTTTTCGAAGAGTTTATTATAATTGTTTTCAGTATTGGAACTTATTTTGCAGAACATATACGGGCATATTTGTTTTTTAAATGTTTGCTGAAAAATCAAAAATCAGTAGTTTATCAGAAGACGGAAGAAAAGAAATAAATTCTTATTTGACATTTTTCGTGAAATTTTCTTTAAATGGGTGACCCCTTACCGATAACGTGCTGAAGTATCCTCTGGTCATTAAGAGTCATTTTATTCAGTACTCTTAATAAATCTTGTCATATCGCTACTATGCTGTTCTGTGATTTTTGACAGTCATCTCTTTTCATTTTTTAATTTACATCCCGAAAACTTTACATTCATTAATATCGCATCGATTGTGTATTTTCTTGCCCATTTTTTATCTTCTTTATACCTGCCTATTTTTAATTACTCGATCATCCATTTTTACCTAAAGATCTTTTCGCCTGTCAATTCAGAGATATGATTGTAATGAATGGTAGTACAGTTAACGGAAGACAGATAAATTTGATATTTTTCCTTCCTTCGTGATCAATATTTACCAAATCTATGAAAAAATAGATAAACATCGATCCGAAGAGTGCCAATGATTTTGATTATCGATAAGTAAATTAAAAATTATGTTAGTATTCTTTACTTTTGTTTTAAAATATGAATTTCATTTTTTGATAGGACAAACTTTGTTAGGTAATACGGGAAGCCTTAGAAAGCGCTTGTAACAGTCGGACATGCATTATCATAGCACATCGTTTATGGAACACTCAGAATTTAGATTAAATTCTAGTCGTGAACGATAGAGCTAAAGTCGAATTTAGTACTTATTAAGTGTTACTACATCGAAAAGGTCTTTATACTGATTGAAATGCAAAATCTTGCATATTGCTTTGTCACATTTTCTGCTGATTTGCACGAAGAAATACAATATGTGACCCGTTGTGAAGGATTTGGAAGAAAATATCAGTGAACATCAATGAGAGAAGCGTATGGTGCAGTTAACCCCTGCCTTATCATATCTTTTCTCATAATTCCATTCATCAATATGTATCCTATCAGTACTATTCGATTTGAAATTATTTTTAATGCAAGTAAGGCAACATCTTGTTTACACAAATATACTCTACAGATGATTTTTCAAAATCTGGCATTTTTCCCACATCTTCATCAGAAAGACTTCTCTGATGGAATTTCGTTGTAATGAACTATAAAGTGTTAAGAGAATATCAGTGTGAGATCGTTTAATTGCTTACAATTTCGTTAAATTAGTTCAAAATTATGCAAAAATAAATTAGGATAAATGTTGAGAAACTATAATTTCTCATAAAGAAACTTCCTAAACGTTTATATCGTTCTCTCGAATAGCTCCCGAGACTTAATACCAATCGGTGAATCTCGCTGTAGTAAACGCCAATTCGGCGGACGATACTGCAATGGGTTAATCGGTCTGTAAGCGGTTGGTATGCCTTCAGCTACCACTCTACCAGGCTGAGCATTTTCGTTACTCGTTGCTTGCCTAAATCAGAAATAAAAATTGAGACTTAAAAATTTTGATATAGTTCAATCTGCAATTTCTATCAAATGCTTAATAGTATCAATTGACTTTGATTTTCAACTTATCACAAGTTCCTTTTGAATAGAGAAAATAGGAACAAATAAATTAAGAAAGAAAAACTCTCTCTGCATTCACATGAAAAATATTTCAAATAATAACTATATTATTCATTAGCTCGATATAATGATTTTAGTTTGCAATTAAATTTAGTCGTTAGATCAGAATTAAACTTGGGAAAGGAGAAAGTCGAAATCTAAAATATAAAAAATTCCACGAAAGTGAAAACTTTACTTCTCGTGGTATCGAGGAGCAGAAAGTGTGTCATCAGAGCTGAAATTCATCCAACTTAATCACAATAAAGAGGCCAACAGTGTCCACTACTAAATTTAGGCAAAAGGAAAACGACTGACATGCTTTCTTCAGACTTATTATATGTTGTTCATAGGATATAAAGCCTTTTCTAAGTAAAAGAATGGGTGTTCAGTGACCTGCAGGAACATATACCTAATACCATCAGGTGCCAATCTTCACAGATGGATGCGGTACCCGATCCAAAACTTAAAATATCCATGAAGCGCTATCAAGGGTCACATAGCGCAATTATAATTTTTATTGTAAACTTTTTATCGTAAACCGAATATGGTTTTGAGCCTTACTTGATGAAAATAGCAGTGCTGTTGACTATAGGTCAGTCGCTATATGAAATAACTCTATTATTTCCTAACGATAGGAGTTGGAGGGTGTTGTTTGCCAAAATACTGTCACTAAGGTTTCCTGTACTGGGAAATGGCAGAGTTGAGATGATAACTGCAATAAATAATAAATGTACTTTTGCATGGTGGCTATGTCTTGATTATGTATTGTCGCTTCAGACTTCGCAGAAGTACCAGTCGCTTTCGGACATATTACTCTGTAAACCCAAATCCGCACACCACCTCTGAAAATTTTCTATTTAACCCATTTTGATTTGAAAAGAAACTCGAAAATCTCGAAATACTTGCGATCGCTAAGTGAAAAGCGAATTTATGATTCATACGTACTGTTCGGTGCGAACATTCGAAATGAAGTCGAATTCGGTTCCTTCCTTAGCATAAAGATCCTTTTGATCCACTACGCCACCAGTGTAGTATGATCCAAGCGATACCAGATCTGTACCAATGTAAATTTTATGTGGTACTGTAATTGTACAGCAGCGTTGGAGAATGCTAAAACCGTCTTTCTTATTAAATTTACTGTTCAAGTGTCAAATCAAGTTTTAAATACAAAATATAGCTGGTGAGAAAACTAGTGAGTAAATATCACCTCTTCTGATGAACATTTAAAATTTAATTTGTTTAGGCAAACTTCGAATTCAGATTTCAAAAAGATCAACTGGCAAGTTTGACGAAAATTAAAAATTTTCGCCCAATTAGATTTAAAACTGAACAAGAAGAATCTTTGAAAAATTGTTAACTGAAAAATTAATCGAAAAAGAAAGCTCAGTTATCATTACGTGACGAACTATTAGAAGTCAGTTAGAAATGATTCTACTTCATGCATTTATTATTAAAATGTTATTGGATTGAAATTTCACTTCGATATGAAAATTTACCTTTGTCCATTAGAAGCCCATTTCATGCCAGAAAATGTATTAGTTTCAGCTCGGCAACTTGCTTGTTCATCGTTGCAGTAAGCGCCGGATGTACCGCATGGTAGTTTGTTGCATTCTGCTTCAATAGCTCCATCTTCATAAACTGTTAACTTCGTTACCACCTTTAATGAGTAAATTTCTTTTACAGTAGAAAACAAAATTTTATTCTTGCAATTAGCTAAGCAAATGAACTGCATCTAATTGATCATGCTAAGAATTGTATCAAATCATCAATTAAATTGATAGAAGCTGATAGAAGTCTTTTAATAATTCGTTCGGTTCATTTTGATCGCTATTTTGACCTCACTCTGTTTTATTATTACCCTTAATATCTTAACTGAATACTGCTTACAAGTTTCAAATTTCATGATGTAATTAGGCATTAAAATAGATGGAATGACAACTTAGAAAAAATCTTCTCTTAATAAAATTTGAAAGAATTAAATATATTAGAAGGTAAGGTGAATAAGGTAAACTTTTTACAGTCTTAATTATATTGGAAAAAAGCGCAATTTTGAAAAGTTGAAGCTAGCAAGTAGGATATAATCTAAATAAATAAACAAATCCTAATCTAATTCCTTTACTATCAAATTTTCTTACCTATGCATATATAATAATCATATAAATGTTCAATTCATACTTTGATTCAATTTCAAAAAATTTATTTTAATAAATTACTTTATCATTACAAGTATGAAACTTGTATATATATGTGATTATTTATACCTGTAAACTATTGATGATCAAATATTTTGTTATCAAATGAACAGTTACTTAACAATACTAAAATGATATCTATCACTTTAGTATTAAAATTACATTATCAGAAAGAGTGAAAAAAAAATGATACCTGATTGTGTAAACATAAGGTACCAAAAGTTGATTGTGGCTGGTCATTATTGGCTTCAAAAGCTATCGATAATGAGAGTAAAGAAAAAAGATGATATAGATAATGATTAGTATGGGACATTTAAAAATTTGTCAGAAGAATAATTCCAAAAAGTAATCGTATGATTTGATAATATTTTGAGCTATTGAAAATATAAAGTGACAGTATTAATGAGAGAGGATGGATAATAAAATAGTTCAATCACCTCTTGACCTAAATATATCATTGTGTAGCTGGTACTACAAACATCATATCACAAAAATAGGAAATTGATTTATCAAAAATTGTAAAATTCATCTAATTTTCTTTATCACAAAAAATTATTATAAATATGTAAGAAAGAAGTTATTGCCTTTTATGGGAAATGATTAGGATTATAGGAAGAGAATTATTACTTTTTATTCGTTCGTTTTGTTTAACAATGTGAAATGGAAAATGGATGTTTGTTAATTTCAATTTTTTAAATTTTAAACATTCATTAAAGCTGTCAAGAAATTAACTTTGTTTTTGAAAGTAATTAACTAATTAATTTTCTTTTTTAATCATCGATTAACATACAATATATGTGATTTAAAACAAAATATTCAAGATGAACTTGAAAATTTAAGAAAAAGAAAAGAGCTTTTAGACTTCTTCGCAAGTTTTATTTACTTTTAAAACACAATAAATTCAGAAATGACAAAAATGAACAAAGAAAAGGAGCTGGCAGTAAAAAGTTCAGCGTATATCTTTAATCTTTAAATTTATTAACATATCAAAATTTAATCATCACATTATCTTTTGAAAAGAAATGAAAATAAACAAAGTGATATGAAAATATGAAATACCAAATCTTTAAATATAAACTTTTAAGTTTTACAATTTTAATTTATATAAATTTCATATAATTTGATTTGTAATTTGAATTAAGTATACCTCTACGAACTTATATCGATCAAGAGTTAATATGACATAACAATTAAGTTATCATATTTGATAAATCTCATTTAAATTTCAATTTTTTTATTCCGAAGTCGTATAATTTATAATGTATGGTTAAAATAGTAAGATGGAAAATAATCTGATATAAATTTTTAGCCTCAATTCATAGAAGTCATTGTACTAAAAATTAGAGATGATATTTGATTAATGACACTTTTTGATAATAATTCATTTTAGTAAATCTGTAAGACATAATTTATCGCTTCATTGTTTTATAGTGAAATATGACTAATTACATCAAACGTTAACTACAAATAATTTTAAATTTTTAAGAAATCTTTAAATTTCAAAATTTTCAGATTTTGAAAGTTTTGCATATTCTCAGTAAATTAATTAATCCCGACATTTATCATAATAATATTTCTTAGTTCCTAATTATCTATCCAATAATTACCTGTATATGCAAACCAAAAAAATACCCTGACACAGTATTAAATATTCCGGAAAAGAAAATATTAAATTACTATCAGTAATTTTTTAAGACAAAAATATTCCTTATTATCTGCTAAAAACTTCCTTAATAAACAATTACAAATAAACAATTACAATTATGGATTATTAATGTTGAATTTAAATTCCAATCAAATATTTCAAAATTTTTATTAAAGAATAAATAATATTAGAATTGCTCATATTTCATCAGGCATATAGAATGCGGTTGTCAGATGAAGATATTATTTTAATATTGGAAATGTTAGGAAGTATTTTTGCACTGACAGAACGTGTTCCTCTTTTTTTCAAAAAATATGTGTTCTTAATTTAAATAGGTCGTGTCAACAACAGTTGTGATATCCAATTTCTCTCAAACTATTCTTTACAAATAGTTTCAGATCACAATCATTCTGATAACATAATAATCTCTTGATCGCTTTCTTCGGGATTTTTTTTCTTGAAGTCTTTTATTTTTGAAATCTTCCATTTATATATATATATGACACTATCAGAAATGATTAGATATTTTCAAGAAATATCGGTATCAGTATCAATAATGTTTATGTGATATGAAAGAATTAGCATAAATTTCATAAGTCTTAAGTAAATATTTTAAATGTAGCAGTTTAATTTTGTAGCATAGATATTTAAGTGATCATTTATGCATAATAGTATTATCGAAGACAAGCAAATGATTTATTAGACGAAAAGTTTATTATTATTAGAAATAATTCTTACTGCACTCAATTTGATCATCGTTGAAATACTAATCCTCATTGTTTTAGGATTTTTTTTAAGAAATTAGACCTTTTTTTCTTAGTTAAATCATTGCCCAACTTTTAACCTTCGTTAACCTTTTCGAAAGCTTATACTGGTATACTGCTAGCAACATTGCTATACTGGTAGCAATAAAAAGCTGATCGATGTTGTTTTGTAATTGTCCAATTTTAATATCTCCTTTTTTATGCCAAATAAATACAGTTAGTATTTATTTTCTCTATTGAAATCATTTGACATTTGTGTCCTATTTGTGCCACTTTTACCGTTTAAATTAATGATAGAAATAAATTTAAAAAATAATTAAATAGGAGTAATTTATCATTTGTACGATGCGCAGAGGGAACTTTCGATATTTCATGAAATAATTTCAGGAGAGAATGAAATTACTTAAAATAGCTTTTGTTGCAGTATTTGTGCTAATAATTGAAGGCAATGTTAGTCATTTGATTTATTATTTTTCAATTTTACAACGACGTTATCATTGTTAAAAAATAGCTAATTGTTATGATCAAAATTATGTCTCAGTTTGGATTCTGAAAAAGGAAGAATAATTATGCATTTTTCTCAACTTTAATTTATAAACTTTCATTTTGCAGACCGAAGAACATATGGCTGAGAGAGTAATGAGCAGAAATTTAGAAATATTGGACGACAGTGCAGAATTGGTCGATCTGAGCGAATTAGGTTTCAAATATATTATTTTCATACTGATCTAAAATGAATTGTTAACTTTAAATTATAAATTTTCTATTTGAACTTAAATGTTTTCAGAAGCAAATTCAAACCTTTTAGGTTTCAATTTGAAAAATAAGACTTGCGAAAGAAAAGTCTCATAATCGATAAAATTCCTCTCTCTCGTTTCTTATTTAGGATTTTATATGGATACTACTTTATATAGATACTATATAGATATAGATACATTGAGGAATTAATGTCATAATGATAGTTCCAAAAATATAATAAATTTTTTCTGTAAAGTAATCATAAATATCAGTAGTACAAACCTTTAGCATTATAAAATCGCATTCATTGGTTTCACAAAATTAGAAACCAGAAATACACAGTATCTTACAGAAACACCGGAAATCTCAGATACTTCAATTCCAAAGTCAGCAGCATCAATGCATCCTTCTACAACAGCTTTTCCAAATTCGGAAAAGATTGAATCATTAGCTGAAGAGATAATTTTGTCTACACTTTGTGGAGCTATTTCAAAATTAAAACACAACAACTTGGAAAATTCAACATCAGAAGCTTCAGAATCCTTTACATCTTCCTTTTCGTCATCAACGCTTGAAGATGAAGTAAACAAATTACAAGATATTTCTACTACATCTAACACTATATTTCGAAATGAAAACGATATGATTGATGATCCACTCAGTTCAGAAGTCGATGAAAGTTTAGAATTACCAATGAGTAAAAAGAGCGAGGAAAATGAATCACAAATATCAGTTATCGATTCGTCATATCTGAATGAGGTTATTTTTCAATCATAAAGCATTAATAATTGTAAAATATTTAGCAAAAAATTTTAAACTCAAAATTTGATTGTGTAAATTGAAAGTGAATAAAACTGAAGAAAAAAAGAATTATGACAGTTAGAGTTATTTCAAATTTAAAATTAAAAAATTACAAATTTTAAATTCAAAAAAAGATTAAAATCAGTGATAACCAGAAAATAATGGAATAATATTTCAGGAAGAAAGTATTGCTTTTTGTCAAAAAACACTTATTTGCGAGGAAAAATTGAAATGGCGTGAATTAATATGTCATCGACAACTTGCATATTCAAATTTCATTCTCGGTTAATTTTACTTTTATTATAATAACGAGAACAGTAGTTTTTGCTAGTGTTTGAGGAATCATTCTTATAGTTTACAGTTTATGAAACAAAGTTTCTAACCGTCTATTACAACAAAGTTTTTTGATTGACCGGCTGTAATTATCAGCCAATTTCAATTCTTTTTCATGATATGATTAAAAATAGTAAATTATCCAACAGGGATGCCATTATTAGTGGCGCTATGTGTTTGCAAATGATAATACTTATCTGTTTTCTTTGAGAAAGAGAGATAGAGAAAAAGGAAAATGAAAGGTTAGAATGAATATTAAAAGGCAGAAAGAACAAGCATTAGCTAGTTTAATTTAAGAATGCCAAAATATTTAATGAAAATATCGCGAAATAAATGAATGATCCGAAATTCCACTTCACTAAAGCAACGACTTTCTTTGATACTAAATGCCGCTAATAGCGAAACTATGGAAATTTTTGCATGGTAGAAATTTCCCTTAAAAGTTTGTTATACAAATCATTCTTATAGTTTACAAAACTTTAGATGGTGCCAATCTTTGTCAAATTTGATTGCCAGCTCTTTTAATTCAAATTAACTTCTAATTAAATAACAGCATTAATCAAATAATTTTGAAATGATTGGAATCAAACGATAAATTAATTAAATCAAATAATTAAATTGATTTCAAGATATGAGCTGAGTTTCAAAGTTTCAAACAATATTGAATCTGACATGATTTTGGCATGCTACAGAGGGCAAGACAAAACTATCCGATATGTCCGTTCAAGCCGAAATTATTACTAATTCTGGAGTTGCTGATGTAGTGGAATCGGTATCAAAAGCTTGTATGAAGCCAATAACAAGCGATGTTCTACGACAGGTACTATAATTACATAAAAATTTTGCCGTTTTCTGCTAAAATCTGTCTGATTTATAAAAATGCAATTTGTTGCAGCTTTCGAAACTTCTACGTAAGATGGAATTGGGTCGTAAATTATGTATGCGCCGTGCAGTTATCAACCAGAATTTGCTTCCAGTTCGTAATGTAAAGTTTTAATTTTTAACCTGATGAAGATGATACGATAATGATATCAGATGTAATAGTGTACAAATTTTATTAGTTAATAAAAGATAACAGCGATAGTGAAGAAATGCTATTTTAATACTTTTCGGATTTTCATCTAATAAATAACGAAAGAGTAAAATAAGTGAATAAGTATTAGATGATGTATATTTATTTATTATATCCTACCATATACAGGTACAATCAAATACAACATGATGAGAATAGCACTAATACAAGTGAATATTTTTTTAAATTATACTATCATTCAGAAAGCGATCTGTGAAAAAATAGCATTCGATGAAACACACAATGAGACGACAGATATTGACAAGAGAAAATTTAATAATTTAGAAACACGACAAAATGCTTTTGACTATTGCGCAGCGATAACAGCTCCAATAAAGAAGCATTGTGAAGCATTGAAGCAATGTTGTCCAAATTATATCAGGTATGTATCATAAATGTAAACAAATAAAGCTGAGATTACGATGAATTAATTATCATTCTGTTCACACAACTAACTACTGCTAAGGAAAATTTCCTATAAGTAAAGTATATTTACTTTATTAAACAAATATAAGTATGATTTGCGCTGAAAAACTACATATTGGCATGAGATTATTCATATTCAATAATAATAAACCATCCTTAGCAATATTTTCAATTTTCAACTTTCAACTGTGTAACTTTTCGAAATTTCTATACACCGAAAGATTTATTTTGTTTAATTTAATCGAAAATTTTTAAAAGTAGAAAAATTCGAAATTTAAATTCAATGTAAATTCTATTTTTTATTTCTCCCTCTTTTAGATGCACAGAATTGATGGCACAAATGAATGTATCGAAGAAGTATGAAGAACTATTGAACCGTATCAAACAGATACAAAGTAATTGTGAAAAAAAGATGATGGAAACATTACAGTCATTTGATTCTGTTTTCAAACTTCCTGTCTGATAATAAAAAAAGCGATTATTTGTAACTGTGAACAGGTAATCCAGGAAAAAGCATGAGGTAAATTGATAAACAAAGATGATATCAAAGATAGTTATGAAAACAAATGTGGTAATTTTAACTTGCTGTCAAAAATACTTTTAGTTTCGCTGACAAAAATGTACCATTCGAGAATCCCACTTTATATTGCAATAATGAATGATAAGAATACTGGATGATAAGGATGAATTGTGATCATGGTGATCGGATTTGTGTGTATAGTAATAGAATGTTAAAAATAATAGTGTAGAAATTATTGCAATCGCTTGATTCAGTAATCATTAAATAAAAGTATCATTAGATATTTGCACCAATTCTTTAGAGGATCGCAATATACTTACGTGCAAGGAAGAGATATAATAGGATTGACAATTGAAATCTCTTCATTCATCCAATTTGCATATGAGAAGTAAGATGGAAAATGATATTAGGGATATTGTCGCTTAATTTTTCAACATTAAACAACTTATCTCGGCCAGTTTTATTTCGACATCCAAGTCGGTGAAAGGACACTAACCGAGAGAACACTATCCGAATAAATTGATGGTGAAAATGCATTCGGTGATAATATTTGACCGCCTAATGCCTGTGGTGAAAAAATATCTGGACTAAGAATATATGGACTGAGCACTAATGGACTTAACAAATATGGATTCAAAATATTTGGTGATAAAACATAGGGAGATAGTATATATGGTGCACCAACAAGTGGTGATAAAATATAAGGGGAAAGTATATATGGCGAGAAAAGAAAGGGAAGAAAGACTCCTGGGGAAAGGATATATGGGCCAAGAATAGACGGATTGAGAATCAATGGACTAAAAATGCTAGGTGATAGTACCACAGGTCCTAAAATACTTAGACCAAAAGTAGGGGAAAACATGAATGGTGCCAGAATGATTGGTTCAAGCGTTGATATTGCTTGACGTTTTTTTCGATACGGTCTCTAAAAATGACATTTTAAAATTGAATTTCGAATTATTTATCACCTTCCTGAAACAGCAATAGTAATATAGAGCAAGCTGGTAAATAATTAGGCTTATCTCTATGATAACTGCAAATAGATTGCAGCTATTTTAATTTATAATTAGAGTAATTATTGACTTGAAGAATTTTCATTCTTATCTTTTGACATCGCAGAAATTTACTTATTTTTATTTCTAATTTTTTTATACTTATCTAATTTTCAATTTTTGTCTTATTTCATATTTTTAATAATTTCTATAGAGTGGATGATTTTATTAATTAGATTAATGAGGCTAATATGATGAAATTGTCTCAGAAAAATTAATAACTAATTTTAATTAACTTTATCGCGTTGAGATTACATCACTAATCATTGTCCTGCACATTTAATCTAGTACTTTTAATATTTCAACCCAAAAAAAGTGATTTAAAATAGATAAAAAGTGATCATTGGGAAAGATATCTAAGCTCTATTCAAATTTTGATTTTTCAATGAGAATTTTTATTGAACTTCACGTTCGAGTGAAGTATTCTACCACAGTAAAACTGATCCTACAGTAATGACTTAATAGATATTCGAATTGAAATATTTTCAACTTCTAACAGATTTATACTTTTACTCTTTAATATGTGTTTCATATCCATTAATATATTATGCATTCTTAAAGGTAAAAAATATCTAGTAATGTAAACCTCAGGTTGATTGGTTGCAATTCGTTCAATATTCGCCCACAATGTTTCTTCCTTCTCTTTCCTACTAAGTTGTTCATACTTTATCAAATCGAAATTTATATCTTCCAACTTCTTAATACCTATAATAAACTTTTCCACTTCTTAAACTTATCAATTATCGAAGTAAGAGAAGTTATGAGAATGATGAAAAGATGAAATACCTTGCTGATGAAGTATTTGTTTGAATTGTGTTGCTTCCAAGAATGTAAATCCTTTCCTCTCTAAATCATTCTGCTGTTCGATATTGAACGATTTTTCCAGATCTTTGAATGCTTGATTAATTTGTTTTGTTGCCTGCAAATTAAAAATTATTTAAATATAATGTCATACTTCTTTACTTGGAAATATTGAAATTTTTATTTGTACAAGTTTATTTCTAGTGCTTGTTATGCCAGCTTCTTTCTAGAACTTATGCCAACCTCAAAGATTACACCTTCCAGATCGGAAACATATGTTTTGTTAAAGATATCAAGTGCCATTTCAATGGCAACACGCGCTCCTGAAATATCCATTATCATCTCTAATATCGTTTGCTGATCGTTTTCCGCCATACCACTTTTTGCCAATAACTGAAAAAAATCGATCATATATATAATGATAATAGATTTTGCTGATTAAGCAACAAAATTTCAAAAAATTATTAAAATTTAAGCTTGCAAATGTTAAGAACTTAAATTTTAACGATGGATTTTACATTTTGAAAGTGAGAATAAAATTGAAAGTTTTTAAAATTTGTGTAATTGAAATAATTATGGAAAATATTAACTTTAGGAATGGAGGCAATATTATCTGGGCTATCATCCTTGTAAAATGACATGATAGAAGGCGATAAAAGATGTTTTTCAGATTGCACCTGAAAATTAATTCATAATGATAAGAATTATGTAAGAAAAAAATTGCCTCTTAACAAATTCTTAAGAAATCATAAGACAACCTTATCAGGTATTAAAGGCATTACTCGAGGACTCAAAAATCGAAAATTGAATTGCTCATTTTTATGATTCCAATTAATTCCATTTACAAGATCGAATGCCATCGAAATGAAATCCTTCCATTTTGACTAAAAATATGCAATGTTATACTTTTATGTATTCTGTTCATTTTTTTAATTTCATATATTTATTTATTTCAGTTTGCAATATTAAATAGGAAAGTAAACAAAAATTTCTGCAATTAATATTTTTCAGAATCTTTAAGAAATTCATGACATTTAAGCATATCGTAATGTTATCTCTCTCTTAATTCTTCAAACAGATATGCAAAATACCTGAACATTTGGTGTGGTACGTTTTTTATTATCGAGTACAAGGTCAAAAAGTCGAAGATTGTAAACTTTTCCATTGCTTGATCCTAATTGTTGATCTATTTGTTTTTTGAATTCCGTAATATGTTCATAGGTTTTTATCCAGTTGCCACTTACTTCTTTACCGTTTAGCATAATGGTAATAAATTTATACAGCTGAATATAAATAATATTATTTAATAGTATTTAGTATTAATTTAAGTTTGTCAGATAACGGTTATACTGTAATCTTATCAGTTATCAGTATTCTCAGTCATGCAAAATGTTTACTTGTTGTATGAGAGTTTTGTGGACAGCCGAATCGTGCATTGCTGGCATTTTATTAACTTGTTTTACCTAAAAACAATAGAATAAAATTAGGAGGTAAATTATTTTTTTTTGAAAAGAAGTTCAATTTTTACATAAGCAATATAAATCTGATGCGAAGATATTGAAATAAAGAAATCAAAAACTTCTGTCTTCACTTTTTAGATTTCGAATTCTTTTGTAAGCCTTTTCACTGATATGCTGGAATGATATGAAAGATATGAAGAGTGTGATGAGTTATAAAGTTTATATAATCACTCACATCGACAATTAGATGATCACTTTTGATAACATGATTTGTGATAAGTCGATAAGAACGACGTTGTCGTTGCAATAGCTTTTTTTCCCTAAATTTTGATGGGACAGAATTCAAATATAATTTTTCACTCTGTTTAGATGAAGAATTGCTGGATACTGCGACATACCAGTCATTTTTCCCGAAATTTCTGAATCTCTCAAGAAGATTTATATTTTTGACCAATTCGGATTTTTTTGAATGCCCTCTTTCCCACTTCTTTCTTCCAACTTTCTCGTAATGTGAAGAATTAGAAGACTGTCCAACAAATTTTCTACTTCCTCTAGTTTCATTTTCAATCAGGTACAATGTTTTGGAAGTTTTATTTTCTCCTATCGAATGCTTTCTTGGTATCAAATTTATATGCCTTGATTTCTTATCAACTGATAACAGTTGGTTCAAGTATATTGCTCTGAATATCCTAGATGGGTCGGAAGTTGATATTGGAACAGTTAAATGTTTGGAAGTACTGAAAATGTGTGGGGTGAAATTCTTCTTGTAATCCGGAATATTAGAAAATCCCGAAAATTGAATGGAAGGTTGAAGTGAATGTCGATTAGGGGACTTATTTTCAAATGCGGAACGAGAGGTATGAGAAATTTTTTCTCTTGTATTAGTCCGATGATATCTTCCAACACTTTTTCTTTCATAATCATGATTTTCGAATGATTCCTCCTCCTCGTTCTTAGAGTCATTTATTGTAATAAAAGCCGGTGTATCAGCTGATTGATCAGTTGCTTGACCTTGCTCAAGATCTTGTTTACAAGTATTAAAATATGGCCTTTGTCGTCCCTGTACCAAACATTTAGCGCTAGCGACAAGGTCACGGTCATCTGCTATTTTATCTAGACATAAAGCCAGCATTTTCTGTTTATCTGCAAAAAAACTTAAACATTATTCCGTGATAAAAATATTAGGTATTTCAACGATAAAATATTAGGTAAAGATAGAAAGAATCCTGATTTCTTTGGTGATTTGATGGGTTAAAAGTTAAAGGTTAAAACAACTATTTTTACAATATATTGAGCTGAAGAATTGGTTTTCATCAATTTATGCTTTATGAATTTCATTTTGATGGAAGATATTAGTAGTTAAAAGTTTGATCCAGTGACTAACACTTATAATTCAAAGAATAAGCCAATGTTTTTTCATCGTTAATTCTTCAAGTAGTAAGAATCCAAGAAGTAGACTCTGTTTATTTATTCAAATAAAACTCCTCCATACAATCAAATTGCATCAATAACCAACCTTCAGTTAATTGTTGATACATTTCCTTGCCAACTTGTCCAAGTAACGCTTTGATCGCATAAATGTACCAATTTAAATGTATGTTTTTAGTTGTTTCGAAGGTTTTCTTATTCATTCTTGCTTTGTTAATATTGCGAATATCATTGGCCGTTAATTTGATACTCAATCCTAAAATTTGAACAGAGAAATATATGAATGATCATAATTGAAACAGATCAGCTATTGAACAGAAGAAATCAGATAGAGGGATTTTATTGATTGAAGGCATACATTCTAGTTATAAATAAATTACTCTGAATAACTCGGTCGAAAAGATATTATTTGGCTTTACAATCAGATATTTAACATACCTATTTGAACTATAATAATGACCAATAGCCAATATACAAGTTGCATCCCTCATATAACACACCTAAAATTCAAAAATCATAAATTTAGTTGCGTTGTCGAAATTTGTAGAAATTCAAAAAATTTTATTATGCTAAAATCAGTTCTCAAATTTTCAATTAAGGATCTAAAATTCGTTCATTTGTTTGCACAAATAGCAAACTATTTTCATTTTCAAATTAAAATGAAAAATTTCACATTTGCTAAGTATATTCACTTCAAATTCTATCAACATGGCATAATTAGTGAATAATTATATCAAAAGCACTTAATTGCTTTAATTGCTGTAAAAAAAGAACAAAAGGAATTTAAACTTTACAAATTTTAGGGATAAGCCTTATTGTGGAATAATATAATTGAACTTTAAGTTTAAAAATAAGCCTTATTAATTTCACTTTAATGTTCGCCTAAAGGAAGCGAAACTTTTAAGTAAGGCATTAATCTCAATTCATAAGCATTCCACACGATCATCTTGAGATTACATCTATTTTTTTTGAAATTAATAATCAATAACAATAATATTCTCCAATGAATCACATATATCCGAGGAAATAACTTTGATTTGTAATGATAATAGGAATGGTTGATAATATCTTAGATGATAAGAAAGATCAAATCATATAGAGAAAAAATATTTAATAAAAAAATGTTTGATAAAATAATTTCCTTTTCATTTGATTTCTGAATAGAGAACATTTTAAGTTTTATGATTATATTCAAGGAAATTTACACACGCTCTCTCTCTCTCTCTCTCTCCCTTTCATTTAACTCCAACATTATCACTGATATTCGTCTGTATTTGGTAGCATAATTTTAGGTTTTAAAAAACAATTCCAGCAAGTTTTAATCGGATGAGAAAAAATTACTATTTCACATTAATGGATAACACAAAAAAGTATTCAACGAAATCTATCATTAATTTTGGCTCGATGTCATCAATACCATTTTATGGCATTTTGCTACAATTGACGATGACCACCCGAATATCATATATCAACCCAAAGTAAATAGTACATTGATTTTACACTACTTCTTCCTCCACCCTGTTTCTTTCTCGATATTATTGAGCAATCAACATTTTGTAGTTCCTAAATGAAAGATCCACCACCTTTAAATTCCATTTTTCTCTTAACAAATTCATCGTCTCTTTGTCCTACAATCTTTTTCTTCCGTAGCATTCTCATTTTTCGGTTTCAATTAATTATTTGTACGATTTCACAACGAAAACCAAGTAAGATGTACTGTACGAAGCATTCGTTAAATGATCAGTGAATTTGAGACAATATTAACTAAATTTTCAAAAATAAAACAAACATTCCTTTTAATTGAAAAATATATCAAATTGAAATATGTGATGCAATTTTGAAACTTTATGATAAAAGCGTGAAATTTGCATCGAATAGGATACAGCCTATTTTATTTTACAAAGTATTTAATGAAGAAGTGTAGAAAGTGCAGAATAGTCGCAAAATTTTTTGAAATCTAAAATTTCAACGAATTTCGAAGGCTACAGAATTAAGGCATGAATGATATTACTATTCAAATTTCATTTCTCATCATGAACATTATTTTAAATATACCCAAACATAAATGACAATATCAAGTTTAAATATTTTTTTTAATCGGCTTTTATAAAATTACCAACATGAATCTTCCTCAACTTTAATTTGCTCGAGCTATTTCAGAGATATTTTTTATCTTCAATCTGAGATGAAATATTATGAACGAAAAAGAATATGATGCAGGAATGAAAGTGGCCTATTATTCGCAGGCTGAAAGCAATATAAATTCAGTTAATGCGATCAAAAATTATTTTGGACGTAGCGCTTTTAATAAGTAAAATATCAAATGAATTGAACCTGTAACATTTTATCAGCAATAATAGATTTTTCGCCTGATATGTTTAACATTTATGTAGGAATTTAATGAGGAATGGGGAGTTAAGTACAGTTGTTGTAAGCATCCGTAATAAATAAATGATTGAAGCTACTACCTCAGAGTTCAAAAACGAAAGAGGCAAGATCCATGTAAAAATCCAATGGAGACACATATACTCCAACGGCACAGATTTCCAAGGTTTTTTAATGGCTTTTGGGCAGTTTATACAATACTAAATGCCTGGAAGACCTCGGTGACAAATTGTTAGATGCAACCAATAGCAATTTTGTATTTTGAATTGAGTTTTTTTTTACCTGAATTCTGAGACAGAAACGGCACCAGGGAATTTATAGCTGGCACCCTTATCCCCGCAATTTTTTAATTTGCAATGTGCTATCTCATACAATACATCGTTTAAAACAAATTATTTGCAACTATCTGAACGACTCCTTGCGAAATATATATATTAATAACTTTATGTTATCGCTCCAAATCTAATCGATAATAAGTAGTGCCTTCATTAGCGCTCTCCAAGCCTTCTGAAGTATTCGCTATAATTCCCCCTGTTTTTCATTAAATTACTGTTGTCACTCCTAAACTTAGCATGCAAGAAAGACATTTGCTATCTTGAAACAGTGCTTTCCCATCTTTTCCTCATAAACCTTTAAATGCATGTAAATCGGGATTATCAACGAAAAGAATGAATTTTATGACAACTGTCGTTTACAGAAGCAGAGCATAACTTACATGATAATCAGGCATCATTCCTAAAAAAATTAATGGTTTAAATTAGTTAACCAAAAGAATTTGCAGTTGGTTCTTAAATTTCAGTGCCAGCTGCAAAGCATTTATGAAATGAATTTAAAACTATGCCAACAAAGTCGACATTCATTCATTTTGGCAACAAATCTATGTATAATTTGAGAATAACAAAGAAAAGAACATGTGCTCAAGCTTAACAAATTAGAAAAAGGAACAAATTAAATTTTCAAGCAGCTCAATTCCTTAAAAAATGCAAACGACTTTGGAGAGCATGAATTGATTCCGAAAATTTCCATAAACAATATAAAACTGGAATAATAATTAACGAAAATGAGTATAGAAGAATAAAGATCCGTTTGGATCTTTCTAACTATATAAATCATCATCGTCGTTTCCAACTCCGGGTGGTACCGCAGGCTGTCCTGGATTTGAGGATGCCCCTGTTTGGTTCGGGAATCTACAAAAAAATGAAATTTGTGTTTAGAACTCATGCATCAAGCCAAATTTTGCTAACCAACACATCAATGCATAATCATTTGCTAAACCTACAAGATATAGCAATTATTAAGCAATAGATAATAAACTTATGGTAGCAAAAAATTTTTTGAAAAAATACAAACGTACTTGAAGTTTGTCCCAAAGCCTCGTTGCTGTTGCAGCGTCTGTGCAAACATCTCGTATTTACGAATATCATTATCGGAAACCGAACGACGAGCGAATTTCATCGCCTGAAGCAAAAAAAAAATGGTATAAAGTATGAAGTTAAATATAAAATTAAAAATTCTACAGTCTTCATTTGTAGACCGTATAAAAAAATTTATTCTATTACCAAAAAATGAATAAAGAATCAAACATCAAAATTGACTCATCTAAATCATTTAAATATAAAACATAACAATACAACAAAGAAAGAATGAAAAAGTTTCTACGATGCAAAACGGATAAAGAGACATAACATATAAGGCCCTCGACTTGCTATTCTATATATAAAAAATAAACCTCTTCGAAATGTGCACGAGTAATTTCTGGTACTGGATCATAAGCATCATCATCCATAAGTTCTTCACCTCGAGCACGGCGTTCTTGCTTCTCCTTTTCGTGACGAATTTCCTTCTCAATGCTTTCACGAATTGCTAGTTTACATGCACGCTGACAAATTTCTGTCAAATCAGCGCCTGAGAAACCAACTGTTGTCTTGGCCAGGTATGTCAAATCCACATCCTAAATTTTATCATCTATCAAAAACTAAACTTTTCAGCATCTTGCCCATACATTTAATTAAGATAAACATAAACTAACCATTGCAATTGGCGTTTTGCGAAGATTCGCTTTGAAGATCTGTAGACGACTAGCCTCATCAGGAAGAGGTATATAGATTAATTGATCAAGACGACCTGGGCGAAGAATAGCCGAATCGATAATGTCAGGTCTAATAAAAAGAAAGTAAAGAATAGATTAAGGATTTAATTTGAAAGTACTAAATACCAGCCTTTTGAAACAGACAATAAATGATAAACAGCTGGCTAAACAAACCGATTCGTCGCTCCAATGATGAAAACATTTTTCTTGTTTGACATTCCATCCATCTCGGTCAAAATCTGATTAATCACACGATCAGCGGCGCCACCTGCATCGCCAATGTTACCACCTCGAGCTTTGGCAACCGAATCCAATTCATCGAAGAAAAGGACACAAGGTGCTGCAGCTCGAGCCTACAAGTGATATTACATATTGTCTGTGTAAAGCTTCATTACAACAAATGCAGAATTTCCATCTTGATAGTAACTGTTTCTCAAGAAATATGAAGCATGATCAACATCGAATGAAAAGCTTGCCTTGTCGAAAACATCCCGCACATTTGCCTCAGACTCACCAAACCACATGGTAAGAAGCTCAGGACCTTTGATTGAAATGAAGTTAGCTTGACACTCGTGTGCGATTGCTTTAGCAAGAAGTGTTTTACCGCAACCAGGAGGACCATAAAATAACACCCCACGAGACGGTTGCATGCCAAATTTAAGATATTTGTCTGGATGTTCTACTGGATACTAAAAACATAATTAGCCAATTAAAAATTCATAGGAATTTTTGAAACACAAATATCGTGCTACAGAGATTTTATCGAAAAACACATATGTTTTTTTCTGGATGGAGGACTGTTGTGAATCCAATTCATCAGTATTTTCAAAAATGGAGAGGACCACACTTCTTATCAAAACATGATAAAATAGCATTAACTTTTCAGACTACCCTGTTACTGCAGCCTTTCTGGTGATTCTTGAGAAACATTTTAGATTGAAAGTTTCGTCCCACAATTTATGAGTTTTTTTAACCTGAACAAGTTCCTGCAGTTCGCGTTTGACATTCTG